ACGCAAAGAAAAAACAAAACTTCATTGCGCTTTTATGAGCTCTGTGGAAATTCAATGATTTATGCTGCAGCAGCTGAGCATACGTGAAAATCAATTGCTCATCATTTAGATCATGCAGATTTCCCTCATTGGACTGTTTCTGCTGTCCTTATTTTTTACGATTAGAAAAATCTCACATTTCTCAACTGATTATATCTGAAGGCAGACTTGTCACACTCAGCCTACAAGCTGCTTGACCATTTTTTCAATCATTATTATTATTATTATTATTAACAGGCATAGTAATCTGCAATAATTTACAGCACACTATGGCATGTTATAGAATTTTTTTAAGTTAAATTGTTAAATATACTTCAAAACAACTTCCTTCGGCTAAACGCAGACAAAACTGAAATGATTGTCTTTGGTCCCCAGAAACAAAGAGAGAGCGTCATCTGTCACCTACAGTCTCTCTCCCTAAAACCTTCAAACAAGGTCAGAAATCTAGGGGTAATACTGGACTCAGACTTAAATTTTAATAGCCACATCAAATCAGTAACATCAGCAGCTTTTTACCATCTAAAAAACATTGCCAGGATCAAAAACATAGTGTCTAAAGCAGACCTGGAGATTCTTATCCATGCATTTGTCTCCATTAGGTTAGACTACTGCAATGGCCTGCTCACAGGTCTGTCCAAACAGGCTGTAAAACAGCTGCAGTATGTCCAAAATGCAGCAGCTCGAGTCCTGACAAGAACCAGGAAGTACGACCACATTAGTCCGGTCCTCAGGTCCCTGCACTGGCTTCCTGTGGCTCAGAAAATAGACTTTAAAACAGCTCTGCTTGTATACAAGTCTCTCCATGGCCTCACACCAAAATATATTAGTGACATGTTAGTCCCATATGAACCAGCCCGGACCCTGAGGAGCACAGGGACTGGACTTCTGTTAGTGCCCAGAGTCAGAACTAAACATGGGGAGGCTGCTTTTCAGATTCATGCTGCTAAAATCTGGAACAGTCTTCCTGAAGATGTGAGACAGGCCTCCTCTCTGACAATGTTTAAAACCAGGTTAAAGACGGTTCTGTTTAGCTGTGCATACAACTGAGGGATTTTATATTTTTATCTTTTTTTTTTTTTTAATGTACTGTGATTATTTATTATTTTAATGCTTTCTTGTTCTGTTCAGCACTTTGAATTGCCTTGTGTATGAATTGTGCTATACAAATAAACTTGCCTTGCCTTGCCTTGCCTTGCCTTACTTCAGTCTTCAAGTACGAGTTGAGTTTTGTCAATCAGTTATCTGTAAACTCATTTTGTTCCGAAAAATTTACAAAAAATAATATTAGTAATAATTATTGATTTATAATATTGTTATTAATGACAGGAACAACAACAATACTTTTACTACTACTGCTACTACTACTACTACTAATAATAATGATAACAATGAATATTAATATTATAATTAGAATACAATATGAGAATACCACTTTTAGATTTTCAGCCCCCGAACAGCTTTTATCTTTTTTATTCGGCCCCTAACCATGAGTTTGACACCACTGTTAAGGTAAAGCCCATTTTCTATGCATTGTAATCAAACAAGAAGCATGTATGGCTCAAGGTCCTTTCTCACAATTGTTTTGAAATGAATACCCTTAAGTGGAGAATATAGAAGGGGCTGCTCATAAAACACACAGAGGAAAGCTGGCATTGTGTGGAAGTAATTGCAGCTAACTCTTGTACAGTGAAGGAAACGGCAAAAGGAACATCTAAATGAATGTTATCTGAAGAGGTCCCTGTCTGCTCTGAAGGATTGGAGTCTTATGTTACTTAAGCGACATGTACATGCTGTCTTTGCATGTTCCTGAACTTCATGGAAAGCAGGAGTTTGTCAAAGGGGAGACAGGTGACTGAACTGGGACAAGCATAGAAGAAGTATGTGGTAACCCTGTTGTTCGGCCTGTTTGTGTGTATCTTTAGTAAATTCTGGCTCAGCTTTGAATGGGGGTATTACACGTCCAAATTGATTCACATTTTACGGAGCTGAAGTTGACTTCATGATAAATGTTCACATTCTCATAAATACTTATTATTATTTTTATTTTTTACTGTAAACCTGTTGACAGTTCTAAGGCATTTGACTTTTGGTCTCGTTCTGTTTCAATCCAACCAAAACTGAACTGAACTGAAGAATCAACTAGTAACCTCAGGCGCAAAAGACAAGAAATAACCTTGAAAAATGCTGCTACTCCATGTTCAACCTGGAGAGACTACAAGAGACAAGATGCGTTTAAGAGTTGTTTATTTTATGGATTGAGTTTGTTTATTGGTTTGGAGCTTAGGCCCCGGCTGTGGCCGTGCTCTGAAGAGATCTGCGCCTGGGTGCAGATCATGATCCCCCGGGGCCTAGACACTGGTGGTGGCAACAAGGCAAGGTGAATGTGAGAGTGAAGAAATCCTGAGGCGGAGGTGGGGAGGAGGTGGTTGCAGCTTGAAGTCCGTTTGGTGAGCTGTGCTCTGCTGTTCTCTTAAACGCTGGCTTGATTGACACAGGGAGTTGATTAAGACAGGCTGAGTAAGGCGTGGTCAAGCCTGGTGTGATAACGTAGGTAGTCTACCATCCTGAACCTCCGCTTCAGCTGCATTTCAACCTGGAGAGACTACAAGAGACAAGATGCGTTTAAGAGTTGTTTATTTTATGGATTGAGTTTGTTTATTGGTTTGGAGCTTAGGCCCCGGCTGTGGCCGTGCTCTGAAGAGATCTGCGCCTGGGTGCAGATCATGATCCCCAAAAAGAGAGCTTGGCTAGCGATGCGTTTGCCATGACTTGGTTGCTGCGTTTATGGAAGGCGCATGGTGTGAGTGACTGTTTCCGTGCGCGAGCTCGGCTCTAGCGCTAGGCGTTGGCACGCGCACAAGCTCGGCTCAAGTGCGCAGCGTAATGTCCGTGCGCGAGCTCGGCTCTAGCGCTAGGCGTTGGCACGCGCACGAGCTCGGCTCGAGTGCGCGGCGTAATGTCCGTGCGCGAGCTCGGCTCTAGCGCTAGGCGTTGGCACGCGCACGAGCTCGGCTCAAGTGCGCGGCGTAATGTCCGTGCGCGAGCTCGGCTCTAGCGCTAGGCGTTGGCACGCGCACGAGCTCGGCATGCTGGAATGAGGAGTTGCCACCACCAGGAGATGCATACGTACTTATATGAGAGGAGGCGCTGGGCTGCCAGAACGGATGAATGTGGTAGAGAACCGGGGACCGAGCTCCTGGAGAGATGATTGAGGGAGTCCCAGGGCAGCAGTCCAAGTGGCTGCTCCTATCCGGAAGGAGTGGCGGGTGTAGAGAAAGGAAGAGAGGTTACATGCAGGGAGCGCAGGTTTTGAATTTGTTCAGATCAGGGGGTCGTCAAGGGATTGTTTAAGGAGTAATTATAGTCTATGAATGTTGATAAAATGTCCATACATGTTGTAGAATGTAAAGTATCCTGGATCATCACCACGGGCCTTCTAGTTGGACACTAACTGTCCAGACCCTCCTGCATGGCAAGGAAAACTCACAAAACCCCGTGGGGAAAAAGTGAGAAACCTTCAGAAGACCCTACATTGAGAGAGCGATCCACTCCACGGACAAACAGGCTAGTCGTCCAGGACCTAAACTACAGAACAAGGACCATTGCCAATACTCCTTTAAGGATCTTCTTATGAGGGTGGAGCAGTGTGACTCGAAGTGGATTTTAGAGAATGTATTTAATGCCGATGTAGATGAGGCAGTGACGGCAGTACCCGCGATGCTGATGTCCAGAGACTGAGAGTGTGCAGTGAGAGGGAAAGGAGAATGCTGAATGAAGGATGAACTGCTGGTGTTTAGAGCGCTGATATTCGAACATGATTCCACTTGGGGAGACTAGAAGGTGAAAATGAGATTCATGAAGTACACTTACCCGGGAAAATTGATGTTCGATAGGAGATCTCTGGACCCCCAAAAACCAACGCACAAGGGCCCGGTCAGAATGAGGGCCAAGGTGCGTCAGGTAAGGCGAAGCGTGAGACAGGCCCGGCGGCAGGAGCCGCACCAGGAGAGAATATGCCTGGGGAACATGAGAAGGAGCACCGCCTACGGCCACTCAGAGTGCACGCAAACCGTGGCGGGCAGTGCTGCACACCAAAAGCCAATGAGTGCGGCCTGGGGAAGAGAGTCGGCCAGGTTTGAAGGCCACGCCGAACAGTACTCATGCAGTCTTAGCAGGCCAGCGTTGCAGCAGGCCACCATCGCGGCGTCGTAGCAGAGCTTTGGTGCGGCGTTGCGGCATCACGTTCCTGCGAAGCTGAAAAGAGAAACCTCGAACCACTATCACTCGAGTGAAAAGGACCACGTCTTCAGTCAGAGTCAGACCACGTCTTCAGTCAGAGTCAGACCACGTCTTCAGTCAGAGTCAGACCACGTCTTCAGTCAGACCACGTCTTCAGTCAGACCACGTCTTCAGTCAGACCACTGACCTGATCCTTCGATGCCGGCTCTTCCCGTCATTGTGAAGCAGAACTCTCCAAGCGTTGGATTGTTCACCCACCAATAGGGAACGTGTGTCCATGGTCGACACTGGTCCCACGATGAATGGATGAGAGCACACGAATGCGTCAAAAGCGTGGCGTCGAGAATGCGGCAGGAGGCGGCCACCGGCGTGGAAGCGTGCGCCAACCGACGTACGGCGATGAAGCGTGCGGCCGCCGACGTGCTGCGATGAAGCGTGCGGCCGCCGACGTGCTGCGATGAAGCGCGCGGCCGCCGACGAGCTGCGATGAAGTGCGCCGGCGTCGAGGCGTGCGGCGTCGTCAAGGCGTGCGGCGTCGTCAAGGCGTGCGGCGTCGTCGAGGCGTGCGGCGCCGTCGAGGCGTGCGGCGTCGTCGAGGCGTCGTCGAGGCGTGCGGCGTCGTCGAGGCGTCGTTGAGGCGTGCGGCGTCGAGGCGTGCGGCGTCAAAGCGTGCGCCGTCAAAGCGTGCGCCGTCAAAGCGTGCGCCGTCAAAGCGTGCGCCGTCAAAGCGTGCGGGGTGGAGGAGGAGTCGAAGCGTGGAGGAGGAGTCGAAGCGTGGAGGAGGAGTCGAAGCGTGTGGCCACCGACGTGGCGTTGTCTAAGCGTGCGGCCACCGACGTGGCGTCGTCGAAGCGTGCGGCCACCGGCGTGGCCACCGACGTGGCGTCGTCGAAGCGTGCGGCCACCGACGTGGCGTCGTCGAAACGTGCGGCCACCAACGTGGCGTCGTCGAAGCGTGCGGCCACCGACGTGGCGGCGTCGAAGCGTGCGGCCACCGACGTGGCGGCGTCGAAGCGTGCGGCCACCGACGTGGCGGCGTCGAAGCGTGCGGCCACCGACGTGGCGGCATTGAAGCGTGCGGCCACCCACGTGGCATCAAAGCGTGCGGCCACCCACGCGGCGTCGAAGCGTGCGGCCACCCACGCGGCGTCGAAGCGTGGGGCCACCCACGCGGCGGCGTCAAAGCGTGGGGCCACCCACGCGGCGTCGTCGAAGCGCAGGGCCACCCACGCGCCGTCGTCAAAGCGCAGGGCCACCCACGCGGCGTCGAAGCGCGGGGCCACCCACGTGGCGTTGTCGAAGCGCGGGGCCACCCACGTGGCGTTGTCGAAGCGCGGGGCCACCCACGTGGCGTCGTCGAAGCGCGGGCCACCCACGTGGCGTCGTCGAAGCGCGGGCCACCCACGTGGCGTCGTCGAAACGCGGGCCGCCCACGTGGCGTCGTCGAAGCACGGGGCCACCGATGTGGCGTCGTCAAAGCACGGGGCCACCGACGTGGGGGCGTCGAAGCGTGGGGCCACCGACGTGGGGGCGTCGAAGCGTGGGGCCACCGACGTGGGGGCGTTGAAGTGTGGCGTAAGGCCAAAGCAATGGGCAAACGAACAGCACAGAGGGGCTCGGCCGCGCTCCGACCAATCAGAGCAGCTCATCAGACACGGACAGCCCGGAAGCAATGCAGTGGGCAAAACTTACAGTCCACGGTCAATTAGACAGAGCGAAGGCCAATGCAGACGACAAATGTTATAGTCCATGGTTACAACTGACAGCCTGAAGGTCAATGCAGTGGGTAAAATGTTCAGTCCATAGTAAAACGGACAGCCTGGAGGTCACTGCAGTGTCTAGAATGTTCAGCCCATGAGTAAAACGGACAGCCAGAAGGCCAACACAGTGGTTAAAATGTGCGGTCCATGGTGAAAACGGACGGTCTAAATGCCAATGCAGATGGTAAAACGAACAGCCTGAAGAGCAATGCATCGGGTAAAAACACAGCCTGCGAGCCAATTCGGCGGGATTAACTGACACGCCGCAGTTCAGTAGAGTTCATGGTAGTGCGGAAAACAACGAAATTAATAGTTACCTAATGTAACTTAAGTTCTACGAATAGGTGCGTAGTCCCTTAGGACTTCGCTAGTGGGATATCACACAGTGAGAGGACTCAGGGCAGAAGAAACAATGCGTGTTACAGGGCCACTCCTACCAAGGATACCCCCACGTAACACAGACCGTAGGTCATCCGTAGTCACAGGACGCCTCTCCCAAGAGCTCCTGACGTGGACTACCTGACCGACCAAACACACATATATGTACCGCACCTGTAGGATGCCTCTCCCAAGAGCTCCTGAACCAGGGCGGAAAGTAAACCGAAGGCCCCCTCAGAGGAGGGACCTAACGGTCTAACTCAGTCCGCTGCACTCAGCACGGAATGGGCCACCGACCGGTCCGACACATCCAAAAGATAAGACCGGACGAAAGAGGAGGACGACGCCCAAGAAGCCGCACGGCAGACGTCCTCGACCGACACCCCCCTGAGAAGGGCCGTAGAGGCCGCCATCCCACGCGTGGAATGCGACCTGAAGCCCACCGGGGGGGGCAGACCCTGCGTCTGATACGCCCGCCGCACAGCCGTGGCGACCCAGTGCGCCAGCCGCTGAGCCGACAGCGGGGCGCCCCTGTTCTTGGGGCCCAGACACACAAACAGCTGACCACCCAACCTGAATGACGACGTCATGGCCAGGTAATGCCTCAGCATTCTGACAGGACACAGAAGGTGCCGCCGCTCCTCCTCGGGGGAGGCATGCGGTGGCGGATAGAAAGCCCTAATCCTGATGACTCTCGACCTAAAGGCCGACGTGATGACCTTGGGGAGAAAAGCCGGATTGGGCCACAATTCCACCATGCCGTCGCCCTCTCCAAAGGACAGGCAAGACGCATGGACAGAGAGCGCACACAAGTCGCCCGCCCTCTTAGCAGACGCCAACGCCAACAAGAGGGCCGTCTTAAAAGCGACACACTCTGGACTCGCCTCCGGCGCCGGTTCAAAAGGCGGACCCGACAGCCCCCTAAGGACCACCCTGAGGTCCCAAACCGGGGGCGTTCTCTGGAGCGGGGGCCTCCTCCTGCGCGCCCCCCGCAGAAAACGTTTAACCAACGGATGAGAGCGGGCTGTGAACCCCCCGAATCCGTCGTGACCCGAAGTAATGGCTGCCGCGAACACCGCCAAGGTGGCGACAGCCCTCCCCTTGTCAAAGAGCTCCTGTAGGAATCCCAGGACCCCCTCCAGCGGGCAACGCCTGGGATCAGGAACGGGAACCGCACCAGACGCTGAAGAGCCTCCACCTCGTGGCGTAGGCCCTCACAGTGGACGGCGCCCTCGCCCCCTGAATGGTCTCCACCACTGCAGGGGGAAGACCCAGGTCTACGAAGTTCCGCCTCTCAGCCTCCAAACCCAGAGCCTGCGGCCGATTATCGGGCGTGAAAACAGGGCTCCTCCCCCCTGGAATAGAGCCCCCGGCTCGTCCGGGAGGGCCCAGGGCTCCATCACCGCCATGCCCCTCAGGAAGGGGAACCACCGGGCATGCGGACTGTCCGGAGCCACCAGGATCACCGACTTCCTCTCCTGTTCGATCCTCCGCAGCAGGACCGGCAGGAGACGCACTGGTGGGAAAGCGTACAGCAGGCCCCCTGGCCAGGGGTAATGAGCCAGAGCGTCCACGCCTAAGGGCGGCTCGTCCGCGGCCCTTAAGGCGAACCAGGACGGGCACTGTGCGTTCTCTGCACTGGCGAAAAGGTCGACCACTGGACGGCCGAACCTCCGCCAGATCTCCGCAGCTACCCGTCGGGCCAGGCCCCACTCGTCCTGGAGTGGGCCCCCCCTGGACATCCTGTCGGCCCCCACGTTCCGGACCCCCGGGACGTGGCACGCCCTGAGAGACAGGAGGTGAAGCGCCGCCCACAGCAGCGTCACCGTCGCCATGCGATGGAGAGCGGGGGACCTGGTGCCCCCCTGCCTGTTCAGATAGGAGACCACTGTGGTGTTGTCTGAGCGAACCATCACGTGTCTCCCCTGCAGCTGAGGAGCAAAGTGTAGCAGTACTCTGTGCACTGCCTCCATCTCCAGCAGGTTGATGTGACGGGTTGAGTCCGACCAGCAGCCTCCTACAGAACTCTGGCCGAGGACCCCGCCCCATCCTTCGAGCGACGCGTCCCTGAACACCTCCACGTGAGACACGGCGCAGGCCAGAGTCACTCCGTCCGGCAATAGACCCGGAGTGAGCCAGAACCTGATGTCCGATGCTGCCACTTGGGGAACCCAGATCAGCCTCCCCCCGTCCCGGGAGGGGTGAAGCCTGAGGCGCGAGAACCACCTCTGAAAATTCCTCATGTGGAGCAGGCCTAGCCGCACCACAGCATGAGCCGCCGCCATCATTCCCAGCAGGGACCTGAGGCGCCGAGCGGGGACTCTGGGGCCCGCCAGAACCTCCCGGGCCAAACGGGTAATATTCATCCGTCTGTCCACGGACAATGCAGCACGGAATGTCACAGAGTCTAGCTGCAGCCCGAGATAAATCATGCGTTGGGCAGGCTGCAGCTTGCTCTTCTCCCTGTTCACCACAAAGCCCAGACGCTGTATGTGGGACAGGACCCAGTGCGTGTGGCTCACGGCCACTTCCCTGGATGAGGCCAGAATTAACCAGTCGTCTATGTAGGTTAAAATTCTTACCCCTGCGCGTCTGAGCGGCTCCAGTGCTGCTTCTACACATTTGGAAAAAGTCTGAGGCGCGAGTGCGTAGCCGAAGGGAAGACGGCAGTACTCGTAATTCCTCTCTCCCACTGCGAAGCGCAGAAACCTCCTGTGTTCTGGCACTATGGGCACGTGGAAGTACGCATCTGTCAGGTCTATGGATGTCATCCAGTCTCCCTCCCTGACACACTCGAGGAGCTGCCTTGTAGACAGCGTCCGAAACTGCCGTTTGGAAATGCACTCGTTTAACACGCGCAGATCCAGAATGGGACGCACCCCGCCTGACTTCTTTGGCACTAAGAAGTAAGGGGAGTACAGCCCCCTGGTGGCGTCCTGCGGGTCTACCTCCACTGCTGCGCCTCGACTCAGCAGAGAGGAGACCTCCGCTTGCAGTGCCTCTATCGATCCCCGTACCTGAGAGCGTACTGCCCGTACGCCTCGGAATGGTGGTGGCTTTCGGAAAAATTGCAGAGCGTAACCCCTGCGTAAAGTTTTCTCCAGCCAAATATCTGTCAGTAAGCCCTGCTCCCTCCAGATGCTGTAGAAGTCTGTGAGGGGCGGAACGGGAGCTGGAACACGAGACGTCACGGCCCCGCCCTCTCCTGGTGTTCCTAGCAGGGAGGGGGGTGGCTGAAAGGGCCGGGGGGGGGCCCCTGCGTCACACCGTGAGCGCCGGGGGCGGTCACGTGTTCTAAAGGCCCGACGTCATAAGTACGGGACTGCTCACCACACGTGACTCGGCTGCTGTGCCCCCCCCTGGCTCTTGCCTCATGGAGGGGGGGGCGAGCCCCTGGAGTGGGAAACCCCGTGTTAGCCTTGTAGCTCAGAGATGCTAACACGCGTTCGGCCGAAGCACACACATCGTTACTCACCAGATCCCTCCGCCTGCCCTCTCTCTGGGAGGGCAAAACATGAACCCGTGAATCGGAGCTCGTGGCTCGCGTAGCGCGCTGCACGCCCTTCTCTGGGGGCTGCAGGCCTAGCGAAGCCACGTTATCTGCTCGAGAAGTAACACAATCAGAATTCAGATCATTTGACATGTTACATACCCCCAAATGAGACTCAGACAGCGAGTACTGATGAAATGCCGGACGGCTTTTATTGAAAGAATTCTTCCCACCCCGACCTCCTCTGCCATAGGGAGGTCGTCGGTGGGTGCGTTGGTCCCGCGAGCCTCCCATGTGCCTGTCTGGGCCCGGGGGTCTCGTCGGGGGGGGACGATAAGCCATGGAGCGTGGATAAGGACCAGGGCGCCTCCCGGGCGAACGCTCCCTGCCTCTGTCTCGGCTCCGCGCTGGTGGGCGGGCCTCGCGCCTCGGCGCTAGGTGCTGGGCTAGGCTAGCCGAGTCCTTGGCTGCGGTCTCCAGTCTCGTCACCAGGGTCTGCATCTCCGGACCGAAAAGAGACGTCTGGGAGATAGGCAGGTCCAGCAGCTGCCTCTTCTCCGCCTCTCTGATGTTAGTCAGCCCAAGCCAGAGGTGCCTGGCCCCGACTTGAGCTGCTGCCATGGTGCGGCCGCCATCGACAGCTAGCGCCTGGCACATGCGCAGGATCGCCGCTGAAGTGGTCCTCGCCTGTGATAAGGTGTCTCCACTGAGCGCCTGGCCAGAAGAGAGCGACCTATCCAGGGCCCCCGTGATGAAGGCCATGTTGTTTGCCACGGCGACGACCTGTGCCGCATTGGCGTAACATCTGTCGTGCATCGCCAAAGACGTCTTGTCCCGCTCGGAGGGAAGGAGAGGTCTGGTGCCGGGCCACACGGATGCGGAGGGCTGCAGGGCCATGCGGACCGAATCCTCGATGTCCGGGACCCCGCCGGTCCAGGACCAGTCCTGCACGTTGCAGTACATACCGTAGCCCAAAGCGGGCCTCTTGGCCGCTAGGGGCTTTGGCCACTCACGTGTCGCGTAATGGACGATCGGGTCCATCCGCGGGCACAACGTGGGCTGCGTCCTCCTCCTCCCTCGGGGGGTGGCGTAACCCGAGGTGAAGTCCTCCACCTTCTGGGTCGGTTGCGGTGGCAAGGGGGCATCCATGATCGCCGCCGCAGTGGAGTAGAGCCCAGGCATGTGGTCCAGCGGGAAGCGGTCCGGCTCCGGGTTCGATACCACCTCGTCCAGCGTGAGGAGAGAGCCGACCTCCGAGATCTCTCCGTCCTCACAGTCACCCCACTCCGCGTGCACGGGTGGAAGGTCGAGTGGGGCCCAGTCAATCACAAACTCCTCGTCCTGAGAGGAGTCCGGACGGGGCGCTGTAGCGGCGTGGTACGCACGCCTGCGTTCGCACGCCTGCGTTCGCTCTCCTCCCTGGGGAGAGCGAGACACGAGGCGCAGGTGGCGCTCAACGCCGCATGGCCCGGGCCCAGGCACATGAAGCAGCTGGAGTGCTGGTCCGTGCGCTGGAGCCTGACTCGACACGTCGAGCAACGACGACGTCCGACGCCGGATGGCAAAGGGGAACTCGGACGAGCATCAGAAGACATCTTTATTCTCTGGTAAAAATTGAAACGGAGTAGATCTCAATCGGCGCCAGAGTGAAAGAGGGGGTGCGGCCTTGTGCAGGGGCATTTATAGAGGACGGTGGCTGGTGATTGGAGCAAATTATTTTGATCTCTCTGGCGTGTGACCTGGGGGTCACGAGTGATATCCCACTAGCGAAGTCCTAAGGGACGTAGCACCATGACGTAGAACCGACACTGTACCGTGAGTGGAGGCAGGGAGAAGAGTGGACAGCGGCAGGCAGACAACGGCAGGCAGACAGAAGTCCCGTTCCCGGTATGGAAGCGGCAGGGTGCGCGGAGTAACGCCTGGCCGCGAGCAGCAGCGGAGGGAGGGAGACGAGCGACAGCGAGTCCGCAGGAGAGGACCCGCGGTGAGCCGCGGAGGAGACACAGCGACCATGGCGCGCAGCCCCCAACATGTGATGTGGAAGAGGAGCCGCGACCATGCAGGACGAACAATGTGCGAGGCGTGAGTAAACAAAGTGACAAAGAGCAACCCATTGCAGCTTGAAGTCCGTTTGGTGAGCTGTGCTCTGCTGTTCTCTTAAACGCTGGCTTGATTGACACAGGGAGTTGATTAAGACAGGCTGAGTAAGGCGTGGTCAAGCCTGGTGTGATAACGTAGGTAGTCTACAATCCTGAACCTCCGCTTCAGCTGCATTTTATTTACCTTAAAATTTAAATAATAATTTAAAAAAATCAACACGCCAAATACATGTTGATATAATAGTCAAACAAAAAACTGGATTCAAGAGGATCTGAGCTTTACAACGAGGTACATCTTGGCTATAATGGTGGGGCAGAAGTTGGCTGGATGATACTGTAAATGTGTGTTTATGATGTCAATAGAGTCTGGGTTGGGGTTTCACATGTACCTCATGCTCATGCAAACAGGAAGACAACACAGACATGTTCAAGCAAGAGGGCCACTTTAGTTCATCAGACTGGACCTGGGGCTGGCAACCTGGATTTAAAAACCTGGATTGACTGGATTCTGGAATTTCAAATTAGTTATGATATCTCCTTTATGATTCACACCACAGCTGCATTTTATATGGAATGTTGTGACACAATCATAAAACAAATGTCGGTAAATAACTATGGAGTCAACGATTGGATTCCAGAGGGTCTGAGATTTACAACAAGGTATAGCATAACTGTATTGGTGGAGCTGAAGTTTGTTGGAAGTCAAAGTGCTTTAAGGGCGACTTTGTGTTAGCAGCAGAGGGCCACATAAAATGACACAGAGGGCCGCATATGGCCCGCGGGCCTGAGTTTGGACATGCCTGTTCTAAATGATTCTTCTACTGGTTGAAAACTGTTATAATTACGTCACAGCATCTAACAGGTGGCGCCTGTTGTTGACAGTGATATTTGGTCACAGCAACAAAACCAACCATTTTAAAAGGTGGAATTGTTAAAAAGCCACAGCCAGTGCAGCTCAGCAGTTCTTCAAACCGCTCACATTTCTCTTAATGAGATTTTGGACTCATTTCTGACATTTTTAAGGAGAGGGGCAATTTGGAGTTAAATTCTGGGAGGCTGAAGGCAAACCCTGACAGGCTGTAAATGAGTGGAGGAGCTTATCCCCTTTGAACCAGGTCATAAATTCTAATGAAGTTAACAGGCTTAATTGGGATCTCCTTAAATGCAAGTTTGGGTTTTAATATGGATCAACATGTTCTGAAGGAAACCACATCCCTGCTGCACACGCCTGACACCATTATGTGACTGTGGCACTTTTACTGTGTGGTCCTGCAAAGGAATCCTGTGGGCAACTATTCCTCTTATGATATTATGCCACAAAACACAGATTCAATTTCTTGCCTCATTGCAAACAATGCTGAAGATTAACACCTCTCTGACAGACATACAATATTTGTTCAGTTTACAATGTCTCAGGAGGATCAGCTTCACATCGTAACTTTTAACATCTATTTCAGGAGGGGGCAGCCTGTCGCGGGTATTTTCAGTCAGGCTAAAGACGACAAAGACCTTGACATGAACACGCATGTTACCTGAAACACGTTCACGAGACTGCAGACTATTGGCTAAACTAATATCATTTATATGAAGTTAAATGTTTTTGTTAACCCTTTAATGGTTTTCTTTGAGTCACTATCTGAATCTATCTCTTTGGGGCAACTCACTTGGTTTTAGACACTTTTGCCATCAAACTGCCTCCAAACCATTTGGTAAAGACCTATAATTCAAAAAAACTAAACAACAAAAAGCACCAAACGAAAACCTAAAAACACATTATTTACTGTAAGAAGAAAACGTTGTAACTCCATTTGTTCTTTGTTTTCTCTGAATACTATTACCATTGTTTTAGAGATGGGGGAGCCAGACGAAACCTACAATACTTGCTGGATTTTAAACTGCTAGTATTTTCTGCGGCTAATATATCAAAGCTTACAATGTATTTTGATTTTGTTTGAACGTTGTTTATCTTGTTATATAATTTTGTCTCAAGGGTTTGTAGGGATGAGTACTACGTTTATTGTAAAAATAGATTGGATTTAACAAAGTGCTTTAGTAAATCTACCGTGCATCAAAAATGTCATCATAGGTTTGTGCAGTTTTTGCTCCATCCGCCGTTGGTTAAGTGTTACATTACAACATTAACACCAGCGGTTTTTATTCAAGCGTGGTCTTTTTGTGGACAAAAAAACTGTCATTTACAATGAAGCAGGGGTGGTTTATATACGGGTGTGCTTATCAGCAAATATACTGTATGTAGACATGAGGAGAACATGAAAACTCTAGACAGAAAGTCCCCTTCTGACCCTGGAATTGAACCTGGATCTTCTTGAAGCACAAGCTCCTTGTTTTATCTTTTAATCTCGTCCACATAAAGACAGTATCTTCTTCCACGTGTATATTTCAACACTGGTTTTCTGTTTGCCACTTGTCCATATCGAGCTGATTTGATTTAATAGTTTGGCAAGGCGAGTTTATTTATACAGCAGAGTTCATACAGAGGGCAACTCAAAGTGCTTCACAAAACAAGAAAATCAAATAATAATAACAACAATGATGCATATCACATACTGTATATAAAGCTTTTCTGGACACTCAAAGACGCTTCACATGTCATTATTCATTCACTCCATACACGGTGGTGACAAACTACTACTGTAGCCACAACCGCCCTGAGGCACCCTGACAGATGATAGGCAACTAGTATATGCCATAGAATCTTTCTGACTCATTCTTGGCAATGTGGGTGAAGTGTCTTGCCTAAGGACACAACAACAGTTTGGCACTTTACAGCTGCAGGTGCCCCACTGTGGCATAGGCCTTTACCAAATGGTTGAGAGGCAGTTTGAAGATGAAAGTGCCTATAACCAAGTGAGATGCCCCAAAGGTCAATATCAGTTCAAAGATTAAAGTAGATATATTGACTCAATAGGTGATCTATGAAACCATCAAAGGGATAATGTGGAAAAGATCATGGGGTATGAATACTACACATGTATTTTCACCTCTTCTGCCTTTCGTGTAAGTTCTAGAGTCACATGTCGACTGCCCTGCTCTGGAGGCTCATGCTGACAATAGTCAGAGTGAGGATTGTGTGAGTAGAATGTCCCAGACTAAGACCCCAAAAGTGGTCCATGTTGTTGTGGGCTCGCACTGTTTCCTGCGCCTCCTTCACTGGTGCATCCGCTCCTCATCCAAAAGGAGCAAAGACAATGGACCAGATGGAGGAAGAAGTCACTTCATGCATCTGCTTAAAAGCATTGAAGAAACATTTTTAGCTCGTCTCCCACTGACAACGATCCTGAAACAACAGTGGGGTCTGTTTTAAGTTTGTTTGACTGTGAAGTTTGATGATAATGCTTTTACAACCCAAAAGTCTCTGAGTCACGAGAAGGTAATTAGTAACATAATGACTGTATAACTTCATTAAACTGTACTGACATAATTCAGACTCTGACATTTACCGCTAACGTCATCGCACAAAGCAACTAGTAAATAACAAGTGCAATCAGACAGATCACGCACTCACCAACACAAGCAGGAACAGTCACACAACAATGTATATCATAAAAACAACATACAGGCTAAATCATTCTGTTGGATTCTTTTGGTGAAAGAGGACCTGAAAAACAGAAATGCAACAAAAAATATGAATTGATGGTAAATATAAGTGCAGTGGAAAAACAAAACTCAAAAAATCCAAAAGAACCAGAAACAGGACAGACATGGACAATGGACCAGCAGCAAGGGGAGAGGAGCACAGGTACATATGTAGACAGAGAGACACAGGTACATTTAGACAGAGAGACACAGGTACATAAAGACAGAGAGACACAGGTACATAAAGACAGAGAGACACAGGTTCATAAAGACAGAGAGACACAGGTACATATACAGTAGACATAGAGAGACACAGGTACATATAGACAGAGGGACACAGGTACATGTAGACACAGAGAGACACAGGTACATATAGACAGAGAGACACAGGTACATATAGACAGAGAGACACAGGTACATAAAGACAGAGAGACACAGGTACATATAGACACAGAGAGACACATGTACATAAAGACTGAGAGACACAGGTACATATAGACACAGAGAGACACATGTACATAAAGACTGAGAGACACAGGTACATATAGACAGAGAGACACAGGTACATAAAGACAGAGAGACACAGGTACATAAAGACAGAGAGACACAGGTACATATAGACACAGAGAGACACATGTACATAAAGACTGAGAGACACAGGTACATATAGACACAGAGAGACACATGTACATAAAGACTGAGAGACACAGGTACATATAGACACAGAGAGACACATGTACATAAAGACTGAGAGACACAGGTACATATAGACAGAGAGACACAGTACATAAAGACAGAGAGACACAGGTACATAAAGACAGAGAGACACAGGTACATATAGACAGAGAGACACAGATACATATAGACACAGAGAGACACAGGTACATATAGACACAGAGAGACACATGTACATATAGACAGAGAGACACAGGTACATATAGACACAGAGAGACACAGGTACATATAGACACAGAGAGACACAGGTACATATAGACACAGAGAGACACAGGTACATAAAGACAGAGAGACACAGGTACATATAGACAGAGAGACACAGGTACATATAGACACAGAGAGACACAGGTACATAAAGACAGAGAGACACAGGTACATATAGACAGAGAGACACAGGTACATATAGACAGAGAGACACAGGTACATATAGACACAGAGAGACACAGGTACATAAAGACAGAGAGACACAGGTACATATAGACAGAGAGACACAGGTACATATAGACACAGAGAGACACATGTACATAAAGACAGAGAGACACAGGTACATATAGACACGGAGAGACACAGGTACATATAGAC